CACCGTCCGCACAAGCACTGGGTACCCAGCGGTACCGAGTGGGATACCGCTAGGTACCCAATACTTGTGCGGATGGTTCTCCCCATCTGCACTCCGCACCAAATAATCTCTCCCCTCTAAGGGTGGATCCATCGCTATAGTGAGCAAATCTTTCATATTGCATGATTATTAATGAATATTGTCTAATTTGAATTATTGACCAAACAATTGTATCAAGTTCAAATCATGATTGGAAATTATATTGTATGATTCAGATTGTCCATTACAATTTAAGAGAGCATTTAATGGATGAACCAAGAGTTATCTTGGATGATCCTTGGTTTGATATAGTTGATAGTACAATCCAATCTAATAGAACTGAAAAATGGGTGTTTAACTAATTGGATAGTACGATGTAAGTTTTGTATTGTACGATCAGAACAACGGAATTGAGAACTAGGGTTTGATTTAAATAGTCAATTTAATTCTTTTGAACATTGAGAGGGGATGCGAGTAGCCTAAGACATTTTTTTCCTATGAGAGAGAGAGCTTTAGAGAGGGAGAGGTATCTCCTTGCTTTGAGAGTGTGCAATCCACTTAGGAGGAGGTTGAGGGATTGCTTCTTGGGGGAGTCACACTGTTGTCCTTGTCATCTTGTACCTTGGGTCCTCCAAGTTGTGATTTTTAGAAGAGGGAGAGGAAAAGGCATCGATAGAATAAACGACGAATTGTGCACGTCCATTAGGTAGGTAAATGTGATTATTTTAATTTCGGATTTTTCTTCTTTTGCAAATTTTGGCATGTTTCCTTATGATCTCATGTGATTATTCTAGCATGTTCCTTAAGATATTATGTGATTAGCTTAGCATGTTTTCTTATGATATCATTTGAATAGCTAGTATGTTTTAAATGCAATATATCTTGCTCATGTGAATAGTTTAGAATGCGTATTTTTTTTAAAAGTCTTCATATAGAAATGTATGAAACAGCATTTAGTAAAAATATATGTATGAATGACATGTTGAAATTATTCCCCTACGATAACGAATATATGATTGAATGTGTATGTTGGTACAAAGTATCAAAATGGTAAAGAAAATATGAAGGTAAAGGGCTTCTCGGATCAGTTTAATAATGAAAGAAATGACCAATTACATGTGTACATGATCAATATAAATTGATACTCCGTTACGAGTGTAAAAGATTTTTTTTTTTTTAATTCCTGTATGATACAAATATCGTCCTACAAGTGTATAATAATATGTTATATATATATAAAGCATAAAAAAGAATTAAAAAAATGTTATAGGTAAATGCATGATGAAACAGGTTATAGGCTTAAGGACATCTAGGCTGACATGTACAAATATGCACACTAGTTAATATATCATGACAAATTTATTGATTCTTTTATTGTTTATTGATTTTTTAATTAAGATATTGACATACATACTGCATTCCTTATCTTATATTTTAATTTAATTGAATAGCATATTACCTATAATTGTTGGCTCACCCAAGTTGTGAGAAAATGTTTAGGAGAACCAGCTAATCAGTAATGACAGACAGATAGTCGTTCACCTACTATCCTATAGGTTCTTTTTATGATGTTGGTGCTTTGTAATAGATTGACTTGTAGGACGACATGTGATAGTTGGATATCTATTTTTTTGTAATGGACTATGTACATGTTTATTAATGAAAGAAAATATTATTTGATGTTTTAGTGGCTCTTTCTTACATTTATGTGGATGGTTATTATAAATGTTACAGCAAAATGTTTTAAAAATTTTCATCCGACTTTAATATTCTCATCTCATCTATGTAAGCTTATCGGCCCGGGTTGTAACAACAATTATAAATTTCCAAGTTAAGGTAGTCTTCATCTCACAAGCATTATCCATTCAAGGCTCATCTTTTTGCTTGTATGAGTTTGAATCATGTCATATTGGGCTCACCACCACATAGAGGATATGCATTCACAAACTTGCCCTATACACTAGCCTCAAGGACAAAGTAATAAATTATACTTTGTATTATTTTTTTACATTTTTAAGCGAAACTTTTTCTATAGTCCTCCATGCCCTAAAAAATAAAGAGTGAAGAAACATAATTTCAATTATTTTGGGACTTCATAATTTTTTGAAATATTTTACATCTCTTGGCACTCTCTTGCTTACCTACAATAAACCTAAGACTCATACTCTCCTTAAACCTCACTATCCTCCTTACCTATCACCAAGTGATTACCTACTAATAAGGCCGAGTATCATCCACAGACAAATTCATATCCCTCTTATAGAATATTTGATCCATGAGATTTCACATATAATGAAAGAAAACACGACTATAATTTGGAAAAAAAAAACATCTAATGCACTACAAGTGCCATGATCATCATCAACTTAGCAAACATTTGATCCAAGGAATGAAAACTATACTACAAGTTGTTACAAATGTCAATCTGTACATGTATAATTGGCATCATCTTGGCAACCAAATTACAGGTAATAATTTTAAATTACTTCAGTAGAAATCCTGAAATATGGAGCTCAACAGAAAAAAATAGCTCAAATAGAAGCAGATTTTGAAGATTGTGCATTGCTGGACTAGGAAATCAAAAAAACATGGCCACTTTATCTTTAAGACTACTCTTCTTTTTAATAAAAGTTACCTGTTTTGCAACATCCACAAAGCTTCTGACAAGGCTATCTGATTCATAAGTTGAGGCCAGTAGTTCTCTTGTTACATCAGGATCAGGCTCCTTTACAGGAGGAGCTTTGTTTAAAAGAGGACCAAGGAAGAGTTCAAGCATGTCCTGAGCAGCATCTCCTGATCCTATAATTTTTTTGGCAGAAGTAGCAGATTCCTTTAGATGAGAACTGCGCGTTTGAGTGCATTTTGATAACACTTGACAGGATCTGAATTCTCCTCTGTGGGGGATGGAGGATTCCGATGAGCTAATAGGAATAGAATTGGATTCAGATTTTCGTGCAACAGACTGCTCTTTCTGCATTTCCTTGTCTGAAGTAAGAAACTGCAATCGAGGAATAAAGTGTCATGCATATTGAATTTGGGCAGTATTAATGAGGAGAACATTGCAATAAGCAAGCCATTACGGTTATTCTAAGCCTTCGTTTGGGACGTCTTTCTTACTGCTTCTTAAAATTTTTTAATAAAAAACTGCTTTAAAAAGCAGTAAGAAAGTCATCCCAAAAGAAACCTAAATCTATACCACTATATAAAAGTGGCTTGGGATTCCACTCTTAGCAAATCCTAGCCTTTCATTTTAATCACTTAAATTAAATCCTAACCTTCCATTTCAATTATTTTAATTATAATTGATTAATAATTGTACTTTTATTTATGTAAAATATACTTTTGATCTTCTAAATAATTAATTATGAACCGTTATTTATTTTAACATGTAATTAATTTGCACTCTTGATCTTCAAATGGCTAATGAAAACTGCATTCGTTAGAACGGTTTCTTTTGAATAAACCCTCACATATGTAATCGACATCCGTTTGACATGCAGAGAACCCATGTCAACTAAGCGAGATCTCAACCAGAGCGTTTCGATTTCTACCGCAACCAGCCGTTTCACTTCCGATTTCAACGTCATGCCGTTTCATTTCCGGCTGCCAGGAGATTAAAAGCCAGGAGCTCTGCTTCTTTGCCGTTCAAATATAAGCTCCATCCGAGAATGTAATTCAAACCAGCGGCCGCAACAGTGGAAGAAGAGAACCCCACATACATTTTGCTCAGAAGAATTGAGGAGAAGTTGATGGTGTAAGACAGAAGAGGTAAAACCGGCTTCAGGGTATTAAGGGGAGCTAAGGTCACATTAAGCTCCATCTTCTTCGCATCATACTCTGCCCAAACTTGCATCGTCTGGCCGCTCATCAAGCTCAAATTTTGAAACAGGGAAGAGCTTTTGGCGTATGATGCTGGAGCGGCGACGACGGAAGTTAAGCCATTTAAGTTGATGCTGACGTAGTTGTCGTTGATGTCGTCAAACTCCTTGTTCTCAATGGTGTCAAGCTTAACAACGACGATGTGGTTGGTGGCTTGGTCTTTGCTGGAGAGGTTGAAGAGACCGAGGAATTGGCTGAGAAGGGTGGAGTAGAGGTTTGGGGTAGGTGAGATGGCAAAGGCGAGACCTTCGGAACTGATTTCTGTGTAGTGTGGGACGATAGCAAAGACGAAGGAGGTGGAGAAAGGGGAAAGGATTTGGGTAGAATGCGTGGCTAAGTTCTTGGTTTGTGGCGTTGTTGAAGTATTTAGCATTTTTAATTAACCTGTATAGTTTCCTTTTTGAAACACATTACTAAATGATGTTCTACATGTGAAACTTTTATGTATCGTCATGATAAAAATAAAGAGAAAAAAAGTGAATCAGTGAGCAGAGGAATTAGAGGCTTAATTTTTTCTTTATTTTTTAATTAATTGTCCTTATGCCTCCTATTTGTTTACATAAATTCAAGAAACTCCAAAGAATAGTATGTTGATTCCTGAATTTATACAATAATATTGATATATCATTAATTATACGAGCGACGAGCTATTGTAATAGAAATCAGGCGACTCAATTTGGTTTGATTCCTTTCTTAGCTACTTGCTCATCTATTGTATGTTAATGCTTTCCATATTTTTTGTTGTTCTTTTGTCCTCTTTAACAAAAAAACTTTGCTCCAACTTAAAAATTCAACTTCTTTTAAACATGTCAATTTTATATTTGAACTTTAATTTAGAGTCCATTTTTTATTTTCTATAACCTTTCTTAATTGCTAAAATGTTGAATTTCTTCTTAAACAAAGTTTTTTACAATATACTCTGCATAAACATCTCATTTCTCATTTATATATCCTCATAATTTTGATAATTTAATAATTTTCTTATTAATTTTATTTTTGTTCGTCCTTGTATTAGTTACTTCATGAGAAAATTAAAGAGCTTAAAAAAAGCAATGGTCAAATCCTCAACTATTAATGAGATTAGTTCTTAACAAATTTTGACTTGTTGTTGCTAATTTTTAGTCTTTCTCATTATGGTCATTGATTATTGCTTGGATGATAAATTTATGCTCTTGTAGGTAATGTTATATGATAAGCTTAGTTTTTTGTTGAGTCGCTAATTCAATTATCTTATGGATAATATATTGATGTCAATAAATCTATCAATAAGAAACCGCTTACATTACAGATAAGCCTGTTTTTTAATTTTTCATCCAACTAGAATGAGTGTATTTTAAGGATAATAGAAGTTTATATGCCTATTGATTATATATAAATTATATATATGTGTGCAAATATTGTATTTAATGTTGATATAGAATTTAATATTATTGATATATATGTCATAAATTATTTGTAATTTTTGTCATATATATTTTTATTTTTTAAAATTTTATTCATACTAGTATATATATATATCGTCAGCCGCGGATTTTGTTCTAGTGATTTTGGTGCTCGCAAACGCGAGAGAGAGAGAGATCATCTTGCGCTAGTGGAGTGCCGGCGCGACAAGATGGAGAAGGGCAAGGGTTTGGCTCGGCGATGGGCGGTGGAATTCGCTGAAAGCTCCGCGTTATCTTCCTCTTCATCCTCTGCCATCCCAGATCCCCTTGGTTACAACATATCGCTTCATGATCTGGTTCAACTTTCTCCAAAGCTCTCTTTCCTCTACCTCTATCTGGTGAATTTTTTTTAATGAATATATTATTTTATATTTTCTCCACAGGATGATTCGACTGTGGCCCGGCAGAAGAAGGACGCCGAGGCTGCATGGAAATCCCAGGTACTTGAGTTAGGGTTTGGGCGAAGGATAGTTTTTGGTGATCAAGATTTATTTCGTTGGTTTGGCCTAGGGGATTGATCTATTTTTTGCTCGTTTTTTTTCAAGGGAGAATGGTTTTATTAAATATATGCTATGTTTTCTAGTGAATTTGATTTGTTGATGAAGTTTCTGAAATATTGTATGTTTTTTCCTTATCGGAAGGCTAACTCTTCTTACTTTGACCGATAACCTTGTTTTGATTTAATTGCGAAATTCTGAACCTTATTAGTCGTCTGATTGGCCGGAGATGTTGTTTATATGTTCTTGATAAATGTATTTACAAGAATTGATGGTACGCTACAAGCTTGATGAGTTCATTAAAATTTAGTTGTAGTTTGTGGCCTTCTTAAAATATGTATCTTATAATGATTTTTGATGTCTCCAGGAAATTCATATAGTCAAATGTTGGAATTTTGATTATTCAAATTGCATATCTAAAAGCAACCACATATTTGGACCGTAAACTGAAGCAGTTGATTGTGGGATAATCTGATGTCTATTTTCACCAAATTAATGGTAAATACAATGTAGTTCAACATGATGAAACCAACAGTACTAAAAAATTGTTTAGAGTCCAGTTAGGCTTATTTAAGTAGTCAAAGGCATAATTGGAAATATCTCAAAGCTATTTGGAGCGGAAATTGACCTTTGAATTTTGCATGCTTATAGAGAAAATGAACTTCTCTTTGAGATGAATCCAATGAGCTTAAGCTTGTTTAATTATGAGCTTATTAAGGAAATGAGATATTCAAACATCAAATCATCAAGGGGAATCAATTCAAATCGTTTGATAAAGTGTGCTATTTACTATTAGAAATCATATTGATATGCCCTCCAAAAATCTATAGATATAGCCATGGTTCTATACATTTAATGAAGCATTTTTGGTGCATAAAATTCATGAATTTAGAGAATTATGGAACTTTGATGCTATTCACTACCACTCGACTCTTTGATACCCATTGTCACTATTGCCAATGTCATCCGCTGGCAATGATGTACCTATCGTCGATCAACATCAGATCGACCATTGAACAATAATGATGTTCGTCATCAAGTTGTGAGACATCAACCGTCAACCAATGTTGATGCTTGACGTCACCACTGCTAGACGTCGACCATTGACCAACGTTGATGCTCATCATTGTTATTGCTAGGCATCGGTCTTTGACTGTTGCAAACCCTTGCCATTGGCACTATTATACACTATTTGTTGATTAATGTTGACACTCATGATCTCCACCGTTTGACAATGGTCGACAATGGACTTTTGTTGCAAGCTTTTTCGATTGTCTAATCTCCTTTCCTAGAAGGATGATTGAGTTTGACTGCACAATGTCGCATTGTGCTCGACCTCAGACTTTTGTCTTTGATAGTTTCCCATCACATACCAAAGATTGATGTTTGATGTTTGCCAATTATCGGTGCCTTTATTCAAGCCTGATCATCTTATTTCCTCTCCTAGAAGGAGAATGACCAAGTCAGGCAATCCAATGTTTTCTGGCCTTTGACTTTTCTTCTTGATAATCACCCTACATATGCCAAAGAGTCTAATAAGAGTTATATTAGACGTTCATTAGTCACTGATCTTTGATACAAGCCTTTTTGATTGTTCAATCATCATTCTATCATGAGAAATATCAAGTCATTCCTTTGAGTGTCACCCGACTTTCAATGTTCTGATGGATAAACCGATTATATTGGGAGAGAATTAGAAAGTTTCCTAACCAAGAGGGAGCTATTTAGGAAGGTTCTTCATCAAAGGGGAATTGTTTAGGAAAGTTTTAATTACAATTGAGAATGAATTGTTTAGTGCAAGATATCTAATTTGAATTCAAAATCTAAGATGGAATTATTTAGGGAAAGAGAGGAGGAATCAATGGGGATTGTTTAAGAAAGTTTTAATTACAATTGAGAGGGAATTATTTAGGGCAAGAGATTTGATTTGAATTCAAATATGAGAGAGAATTATTTAGGGAAAGTTGGTTGATTTGGGATGGAATTAGGGCAGCTTATTTAAGGTTAACAATAGAGTGATTTCAGGATAATGTTATGAGTTTGCTGAAATTAGAATTTCTTAGGTTGTGAGGGCTCTAGCCACCGGCTAGGGATTTAAGAGAACTGGATGTTCCTCTCCAATTGAAGATCCAACTAAATTTTGTTGTTTTCTTTCATATATCTTGCAATAAAAAAGATTTTTGATGTGTTTTTCACTTTTTCTTCCCAATTTCTTAATGTTGTTCACTGATTTCGAGGAAATTGTAGCCAAGGGATATAAGATTTTAACAAGCACTTCCTATCAAATTGGTGTCAGAGCCATATCTTGGGCTGAAATATAAGTCTTCCTTGCTAATTTTTGTTGCGTTTGTTCCTTCCGTCTTGTTAATTTTTGTTGTTTGATGATCCGATTCATTGTTTTTTGCTATTTCTTTTGCTGTTTGGAGCCTAGATCCAGGTACCTATGGCAGGGAAAAATGTTAAAGTGCTGGAAGTAAAGATCGGACAATTGAAATATGATTTTGTAGAAAAGATTTCATATTCAATAAGTAATTTTCAGCAATCTAGGAGAAGATCGATGAGAAGTTTGCCATCATGGAGGAGATGATGAGGAAGATGCTTGAGTTCCAAACCAAAGCGACATTGTTGGAGGCGGGGGGAGCTACCGTCAACCAAGGGAGTGGAGAAAATCCTAATCTGATAAGGAGAGGGGAGGAAAAATTGGGGGAAGAATAGGAAATGACACATTTGGAGCCACTTCCAAGGAGGAAAAATGGTGAAAGAGTGGGATTTTTGGTGGAGTTGCAGAGTTTGGAAGGAGAAAAAGATGAGGATAAGATATAAACACCATACATGATTCACCCGCCCCTACAACAGTATCAAGGGATGTTCTAGCTAGTTCAGGGGTTGCCTCTTTCGCGAGCATGCTATCATCTTGAAGGAAGGAATCTCACCTTTCAGTGTTCGTTTGTACTATCATCCCAAAATCTAGAATGAAGAGATTGAGGGATTAATCAAGGAGATGTTGGAGGCATAGATCATTCGACCTAGTGATAGTCCATTTTTCAGTCAAGTGCTTCAGCATTAGTTTCCTTCATTCCACCTTGAATACAAATTGACACTTTGGGAGGCGAGTATTGATGGACCGGCTGATTTGATTGGGAGGGAATTAAAAAGTTTCCTAATCAAAAGGGAGCTGTTTAGGAAGGCTTTTTATCAAAGATGAATTGTTTGAGAAGTTTTATTTACAATTGGGAGGGAATTATTTAGGATAAGAGATCTTATTTGAATTCAAAGTTTAAGAGGGAATTATTTAGGGAAAGGGATGAGGAATCAAAGTTTTAATTAGAATTGGGAGGAAATTATTTAGGGCAAGATATCTGATTTTAATTCAAATATGAGAGGGAATTATTTAGAGAAAGGAGGCTGATTTTGGAGGAAATTAGGGGAGCCTATTTAAGGCTAACAATAGGATGATTTCAAGATTATAATGTTATTTGCTGAATTTAGATTGTTCTTAGGGAGTTTTGGGCTCTAGCCACGGGTTAGGGATTTGAGAGAGCCGGATTTTCCTCTCCAATAGAAGATCTATTGTATCTTGTTATTTTCTTCAGTTTGTCATCAATTAAAAAGAGTTTTCTCTTATTATTGCTCTTATTTCCTCTTGGAGATTGTGTTTGGTATTGCTGTAATTTCATTTCAGCCAAGGGAGTTATGATCTTTACAAGCACTTTCTATCATGTTCCTCATTGAATGCCTCCTGACGTATACCAAAGTGCACAATCTGTTGTCTGTTATCCATCAGCACCCTACTTATTAAGTCAACTCGGTCGCCCTATATCCTTTCGTATAAGGTGAATGACCAAGTCAAAGTACCCGTAGTTGCCTAACTATCAGTTTTCGTATTAGCTGTCGCCTGATGCATACCAAAAAGTGATGTGTGACGTCCATCAACTTCTAACTCCCGATGCAAGCCTTCTTGGTTAGTTGATATTCCCTTGTATAAGAAGGTCGAGTAAATCAACCACCTAATGTAACCCAATCTCTAAATTTTTTTAATTGACCGTCATTGGACACATACAAAAGATTGACGTCAGATGTTCATCATCCACCAATATGTGGTCACCTAATCTCCCCTCTCATAAGTCAAACAATTAAGTTAGGCTAGCTGACATCACTTGACTCTCAACATTTATTGTCGACAACTGTTCAAACTTTCATATTATAATAAAATTTTGTTAGGTTAGTTACCGGTGTTAATAATTGGAGATTACACAATTCAAATAATAATGGATTCAACAAATCAAACGAAGAAGAAAAACCATGTTGGTTAAGCACTATTACCAATTATTAGGATTTTTTTGTAAAAAATAGGTTTTTCATTTGTTTTTTTTTTTAATTCAATTAGGAAGGTATAATATAAATAGTACCTTTCCTGGTCCCTTAGTAAGGGCATGAAATATTTCGACTTATTTATTTATTATTATTTTTTTTTCATAATGGATTTAAGCTGGGTGAATATATGATATTCTTGCAGTATTTCTAGGTCCAGTTCTAATACTAGGAGGTATGGGAGCAGTACTGCTTATGAAGCCAATACATTCTACCTTTTTATAGGATTGATTATTGTTTGCATAATCTTGTTTTATGTTTCATTGAATTTCTATTTAACTGCAGCACATTTCTTTTTTTATTTGGGAGTCATAAATGTATTAATCATATTTGCTTGATGTTCATGAGTAGTTCCAAACATTCCAATGTTTTGTTTACTGCTGTAACTTATACATTGTTTCTACTATTTTATTAGTAATGTTTCATGGGTTTAAAATGATTTTCTTTGCCTTATATTCTTATGAGAAGAAAGCCTGGGAGGTGGCTCAAGCTCCTTTTAAGAACCTAATGATGATGGGCTTCATGATGTGGATGGCTGGAAGCACGGTTCATTTGTTTAGTATCGGAATCACATTCTCTGCTCTTTGGCAGCCAATAAGTGCACTTCAAGGTGTTGGAAAAGGTAAGATTTTATTTTCATTTGTCCTTCTCCATGCAGAAGAACGTAATTCAACTCGTATTTTTTTCTAGACATGCTTATTGGACTTAAGCCTTATTTGGGACTCATAACAAATATTTTTTTATAGTATTTGAGCACTAGCAGTATTTTGCAGGATCAAAATGCCAGGGGTTGCATATGTCCTAGGATTTTATGATTTTGTTATCATTATAGAATTTTACTGACACGCATATCTTATAAATAATGCAAAACACCTGGAACGTAATATGTTTAAAAGATATTCAAAGCTGAAAGATCGTACTATCATAGATAGGATCACTTAATTTTGGTAATGAACATGTCTGTTTAACAAACCTAATTTTTCTTTGTTCATTACACCTCAACCACCTCTCATCTATCCACTTAGCCATTTTGCCTTGTCAGCCCTCTTCATTTCCTGAATTCTTCACGCCAATCTCTCCTCAATTTACCCATCCCCACTCACGCTAGCATAATGCTCTCATTTTTACCCCACCCATAGTTCCTCCCCCTCCCCCCAAATGATTTGGTTTATGCTTTATTATTGGGTTTTAAAAGATTGGGTGATGAGGACATCAACAAGAGATTTTGGTGCGTTTATCAGAGGAGGCATCAGAGATCAACGACCATGATCTGGAGCCTTTATTTTTTTATGCATTTTATATATTGTTTATTTTTATATTTTAGTTTCCCTATTTTATCCCTATGGGTAGTTAGTTTGCTTTTGTAGCCCTATGAGCATTCTAGTCTTTTTTCTTTTGTCATGATTGAGGCCTATATATAAGGTCCCTTCTATTGTATTTGGGATGATGGTTTTAATGAATAAAATTTTGAGCTTTTCTCTTCTTCATTGTGATGAGCTACCCGCCAGTCTTTGGAAGAGTCCAAGACTCGCGGCTCATCTATATCCCTTTCTCCCGCACCTCCGGCCACTTCCCCGTCTCCCAACACCCGCTGGCCTGCTCTCCCCATCTTCCCCTACTCTTCTTCCCTAACCGAGCCCTCCCCACCCCATAGCCGCTAGCCTCCCTTGGCTCCTCCAGCCGCCGGCCGCCCTCCAAAGGCCATAGCCGCCACCCCCTTGGCCCCCTTACCACCGGCCGTCCATCCTAATCCCCCTTGAATTTTGAAATTCAAAATTCAAATTCCCTTTATTCACTTTCCTAATCACTTTTATAAAATAGCCCCTTATAGATTAGGAAAGTTTCCTACTTAAATTCAAATTAATATTTGAATTTAAACACTTTCCTTATTGATAAACTAATTTAGGTAATATCTTTATTTTATTCAAATTTGAAATGAAAATTCCTAATTTAAGTCAAGGGCCCCCATACATTGAATCTAGACCTCTCCCTCCCTCCTCATATGGCCAGCCCCCCCTTTCCCTTTATTTTTCTCTCTCTCATCTAATCCCTTATTCCAATTAAATGCCCCATAAGCTCCTAAATTGCTAGCCCCCTAGAGCTATATTTGGGATAGTTTGGAGTTAAAATTATTCCCTTAACTCTCTTAGAAAATTGTGAAATAAAATTCATATTTTCTAAGTCCTTTTCCCCACCTCCCTAGCCTTAACCTTAGCCATCCTCTCCCATTTCCTCTCTACTCGAGAACCCCCACCAGCTCCTTCCCTCCCTTCTCCCTTCACAAACCATCGACTCCTCCAAGGATCACAATAAAGAAGTCTCCCATATTTATGTATGACCGATCCTAAAGTCGGCCACGGATTTGCGTACGATTCGCAAGGACAAATTGATATTCTTCAGTCGCCCTTCTTTGACCCCAACTGGGAATTTGAAGATTCCGTCGAAGACTACGTCGACCGCATACTATTTCATCTAGCCGGGACGATCGACGAACAACGGCCATTCGAACAATGGCAACTCGTCGGACGTTCACCTGCGCCTCTTTCTCCGGCTACCTTCCTGTGGATCAAGACCGTAGGCATCCTAACTCTCTTAGTGGTGTCGTTTGGTTTGTTGAAAATCTCTCTCTGCTAAAGCCGTTCATCGAGTGTGAGTGAGAAAAGAAACTCTAGATGAAAAGCTCTAAATATTAACCTGTTGATTCTTATTACGACACATTTAGTTTTATTGTATTTTTTGATATTGTTTTAAGTTGTTATGTTCTCCTAAAATTTGTGACTGCATGCCAAAGCAAAATGTCAATTGAGAATTCCTAAAATTAATTATTTTGACTCAGTAATCTTCAAGTAGCAAGCTTTATGATAGTTTTATAATTTCCTTGCAATTCTTGTTTGTTTCACATCATCTTGGTATCAAAGCATGGTTTGCTCAAATTGCATGTGCTAAGATTCATCTTAGAGTTTTAAATAGCCATCTTTAAGTTTAACTAGTCGTGTAACATTGCATCCATTTGAAATAACACATTATTTGTTTGCTATCCATGCAATTTCTGCATCATTTAGTGAGCTTTAGGTGTGTTGGCATATAGGTTTAGGTGTAGTGCCCCTCTATTCCTTAACATCCCTAAGTGTCTCCTAGTTTATCCCAATGGACCAGGAACAAATTCAACTTACTTATAGACTTGATCTTAGGACAGTTAGGTACTGTGACCCAACAAATTAGAGAAACCCAAGGCAAGTTAGCTGACTTTATACGTCAAGTTGGAGATCGTCTAGACCACATTGAAAAATTAGGAAACCATACGATGTATACTCCTTCTAGACCTTCGTCCCCATACGTCGAAGAACCATGAGCTGACTACGGACCACCTCGAAACCAATACCGTCAAAACCATTGACCTAATCAGGAACTTCTAGGTCATGATCCGATTTAGAGAGATAATGATACTTAGTTACTCAAGAACATCTGAATCGATATCCCTTCCTTTGATGACACCCAAGTTTTCCTGGATTGGCTTAAAGGAATGGATATCTACTTTAGGTGGTACAACATTTCAGAGGCAAGAAAAGTTAGATTTGTTGAAATGAAGTTGATTGGTAGGGCTAGTCAGTATTGTACTAACTTGGAATATATGCGTGAAACTCGAAGAGAATACCCTATCACTAATTGGAGAACAATGAAACAAGAACTCAAGCAAAATTATCTTCCCCTTTCCTACTACCTCAGACTTTTAAATCGTTGGAATAGATTAACCCAGGGTAGTAAACCTGTGAAGGATTACATATCTACTTTTGATGACTTTATGATCCGCTGTAGTGGCGAGGAAACCACCGCCCCTGCCCAACTCCTATCCATGTTTAGAGCTGGACTTAGGAAAGATCTTCGAAATGAACTCTTCGCTAGAGGAATCATTACCTTAGAGGCCGCTTGTAGTCTTGTGCTAGATCTGAAAGAATCCAAGAACCATGCCCACTCAAAACGCCAAGACTTCCGCTCTAACCCTTTTAAATCCTCCTCCAGCCAACCCCAAAACAAATCACTTGGTCCCATGACTGATTGACCCATTGCTAGACAATTCCAACCCCGCCATGACTTTAAGAACAAAACCCCTAAACATGAGACACCCAAAACCAATGCGGGAACCAAATGCTTTAGGTGTCATGGGTATGAACACATTGCCTCTCAATATTCTAGCCCCTATAAAATAACCATAATCAAAGAAGTTATCGATGAAGAGGATGAGCCTGACACTGAACTAGTTCATCACATCGATGACGAAGAAGACTTCTTCTGTGATGAAGACACCACCGTGATCCACTACCTGCAAAAGATTGATCACTTAGATCTGCAAGTTGTTAGGTGTGCCTTATCACAACCTAAATTGAGTGACGATTGGCGTAGAACTTCCATTTTCCATACTTTCACCTAAATTGGCGATAAGAACTATAAGGTTATCATCGATAGTGGAAGTTGTATTATCGCTGTTTCGTCTACTATGATCTCTAAGCTTCATTTGAAAACCACTCCGCACCCGAACCCCTACAAGGTCGCCTGGATCAACTCAACTGCCTTGTAAGTAAAAGAAAGGAGTCTTATCCATGTTGAATTCGTGGGATACAAGGAAAAGATATGGTGTGATGTTTTAACCATGAATGTTGGTCAGATCATCCTTGGTCGTCCCTGGCTGTTCGATAACGACTTTCATATCTATGGGATCTAACACGTGCATGTTTGAGCACGATGGTAAGAAGATTAAGCTTTTACCCTCCCAACCCAAGTCTTATCAAGGAGGACGTAAAACCCACTCCCCTTAAACCCAACACAGGCCTAAACCCGTTAACTGCTAAAGACCTGGATACTAAACTAGTGTTAGGTTCACCCATATTTTCCTTAGTAGCTCGGGAAGTGAATGCGGATCTGGAAGAACCTATCTCAAAAGAGCATAAGCCCGTCCTTGAAACCTTTGTTGACATTTTCCTAGAGGATTTACCCAACCAACTCCCACCTCTAAGGGACATCCAACACGTCATCGACTTAGTACCTAGAGCTTGCCTCCCCAACCTTCCTCTTTACCGCATGAACCCTACGGAGCATGTTGATCTTAAGAGATAGGTAGATGAACTACTGCATCGTGGTTTTATTAAGGAAAGCCTTAGCCCTTGCGCTGTCCCCGGACCCCACCCTCTTGACTCCCAAGAAGGTTGGCTCGTGGAGAATGTGTGTTGATTGTTGTGTTATTAACAAAATCACAGTCAAATATCGTTTTCCTATTCCTTGTCTAGATGACATGTTAGATATGATGACTGGAGCCATCCTATTTTCCAAATTTGACCTCAAGAATAGTTATCACCAAATTAGAATTTGTCCTGGAGACGAATGGAAAACTGCTTTTAAAACTAAGGATGGGTTATACAAATAGAAGGTTATGCCTTTTGGTCTGAGTAATGCACCCCAAGTACATTTATGAGAGTTATGACACAGATCCTTGGACCCTTCCTAGGAAAATTCGTAGTATTCTACTTTGATGACATTCTGATTTATAGTAATTCAGTGGACCAACATCTAAATCATTTAAAACAAGTCTGTAAGGTTTTGAGGAATGAACAACTATATGCTAATCCT